CAACAATAAATGTGATGGTGGAATATAACAAACAATGAACAGTTTCACCCTTTTGTGGCACAGTGATCGACTCTGAAGCCAACGCAGATGGCATCAATAAGTGGGGCATTAGCTATAGGGGCAGACAAATGAGTCAACACTGCCATTTTACGATCAATAATGATAAATCATGCAGTACGGTGTGTGTGCGTGTGTTGAATTATGTTGTGTGGACCTGCAATCTAGTGGGGGTAGTCCACTGTGCTATGGAACCTGAAAACCTGAGTTTGACACTGTATGTTACACATGGCATGGCCAACATCAGTGATAAATATCTGAACCTGTCCTGGGCCTCCCCGATGTCAACCCGGCTTTAAATGAGTACCTGGTGTGCTGTGTAAATATTGGCACTGGGGAGAGAAAAAAAACGTGGATGTGGTTTTGCCTCCCCCCCCCCGTGTGGCAAGCCGGCCTTCATAGGTGCTTGCTCCCTACTCTCCTCAACAGGCGAAAAAGGCTCAATAGGGGATCTTTGACTTTGTGTTGGATTGTTTGAATATGTAATTCTACGCACATATGGTTAGCACATTGTGCGACGATGCAGTTGACACAGGTTCAATTTAGAGCTACGCACGACACCAATGGCCCATGGAACATGCACCGAAAAGTATTTATGCGGCATCTAATGTATGCCATCTCCACTTTCAGAACAACGCATTTTAATAATAAACTAGTTTTTGCCTTTATCGCACGGCATCTTGGGAATTCTCCAGAGTACAAGATGCTCCAACAGAGAAAGAAGCACCAAATGTGTGACCAGTGTTCATACAATTACACAAATATGGTCACACACACACATGCCTATGGATTACAGCACACACACCCCTTCCCCAAAGTTTGTTTTCAAACACAAGGGAAAATGTGTGTCATGTAAGCTGGAGAATACGGTCAATGCATTTGGGCCCTCTATTAAAACAAAGTAGATTTTGCGCACTTTCGGATGCGCTTTTGCAGCCGTCTGGAACGCTCTTCCTTTCGACGTTTGGAAGCCACTGGAGCTATGCGCTTTTAAATCAATTAGATTGAAAACTAATTTATTTTAAATGCTATTTGTGTTTAGATTGTTGTCTTTCCCCCGCACCTCCAATTAGCGCAGTTGGCAACGTACGGTGTTAAAAAAGCTCAACATACATACATTGTAGGTTGGATTGTGATCGTCTGCACTGCTCACAATGGCTTCAGGGGGTTGTTCTGTGACTGCTCTCACCACGAGTGAGGGCTGTACGAGCACATCCTGAAGCCATTGTGTTTCCTAGACACATTTGCACACCTCTGTGGTGTCTGCCCTCACTTAAATCACACTGACAGCATAACAAAGCCAGGATATAAGGGCAATTGTTGTGCGGGTCTCAACAGAACAAAACATTATAAGCTGTGCTCTCACTATGGGCTGTGAAATTACCGCCAGGCATGCAAACACAGTACTGCATGAGTAATAGGCACTTCCAAAGTTAACAGAGTAAAGAAAATAGACATTTCCACTGGCATAAAAATGATGCACTGTTATAGGTTAATGCATTTTTTTGCTTAACACTTAAGCGCGCTTGGCACATTTGTACCGCTTACCTGTAACGGCAATGGCAATGTTTATACTGGTAGCAACCCACTGGTTCCACCAGCCCATAGGGGATTATTGTGTCCGTCCGTCATGCAGGGAGGGGCTGGGTGGGGAGGGAGGGGCTGGGTGGGGAGGGGCTGGGTGGGGAGGGTGGGGCTGGGTGGGGAGGGGAGGGTGGGGAGGGGCTGGGTGGGGAGGGTGGGGAGGGGCTGGGTGGGGAGGGTGGGGCTGGGTGGGGAGGGGAGGGTGGGGCTGGGTGGGGGGGTGGGAGGGGTGGGGCTGGGTGGGGAGGAGCTGGTCACCCCGTGGTGCCCTTATAAAACTCAACGTTTAACCTACTCACGCCGGCTTGTGCCCGCCCTCACAGTCGGGCATATTTGCGGAATACACCACGCCGCCGTTGACCCTGGCCATTGACCGAGCAACCCAACGTTCCTACCAGCTCCCTCCATAGGAATGTTTATGCCACATCTCGATGGGGTAGTTATACTGGGGGGGGGGGGGGGGGAAACCCCTTCTGCAAATTACTATTTTCCACGATTTATTTATTTAAAGGACCACTTTGAACATCTATAAGTAAAGCGCACAATTATGTAATGCGCAATTACCGCTATAATTAGTTGTCTGCATTATATGAATGCCTAGCTGACAAATGTGAATTCAAAACAAACTACCGAGTAATCCTAATCCTAAAATGATTCTATAATGAATACAGATTGTAAATACTGTACAGTATTTACAATCTGTATTCTGTATTCCGCATTCTACAGGCTTGCCCTGAACGAACAAACTCGCTCTGAACTCAGGAACAACTTAGACCCCCAACTCCCATTTCAAGTTGAAAAAAAAATCTTGAATCGAAATATGATACAAAATTCCACAAATGTATTATCAAATCGCTGAGGGAGGTAAAGAATTCCACCCCTGAAGGATACTGGTTTTGCTATACAAAGAGTATTACATAATAAAATGCAATTAATTAAGTGTAATAAATCTTACTTAGCAAAACACAAAGGCACATCGTTTGGTAATAATGTTGGTTGCCTACGTTTCCAAATGTGCATGTGGACAAATACAAAAATGAAGAATGAGGACACTTAATTTCCTCACCACAAAGAAGTGTCGTGCTTGTATCATCCATACAGATTGTATTTTTCGGCTTCATGTTTTGCCAAATGGCATTCGAATATATAACCGTGGACCAAAAGCACTATTACATTTTGATTGTATTCCATTCACGAATTGGATTTTTATTTTCCTGAATTTTTCTCTCACAGTGGAAGAGATGAGACTTTGATTGCTTTTACTGTGAATCTGCGGAAAAAGCTGGGTGATATTGATTGAGTAACGTGAAAAGCAGAACTATCAGACTGTGGGACACAACCTCTGCCATTTCATTTAACTTATTTTCTCTTTTCCTGCTCCTCAAAGCACCAAAAATAAATTACTGCAGCTCGAGTAACCATCCAATCAACGTAACTCATAAGACATCATCACTGTGACCCGAATAAAAATTGCAGCCAGGGAGACAATTATCAGAAATCATTTTTTTTTTTGCTGGCCAGCAGCTTCGGAAACCTCATTTGTTGAAAATACGACCCCTCTCACCACAGGACCATCCACACTCAGTGGTTTTATTCTAAACAAGAAAAGCAGCAAATCTGGCCGTTTCTCGTGCTCTTCATACACCCTTGGTCAATGAACACCAAAACACAGAGAACTATAATAATTACACGCTCATATTTGTTCTATCCCAGTCGAAAGATGCGTATTTTTAGCCGCCACACCCCACCTGCCTGGCCAACTGGCCTCATAGACAATGGCAAATATTCATAAAAGCAATTTCTGGACCGGTTTAGGACACATCAGCACATTGGTGTATTCGCACAAGTCCAGAAGACGAAGTTGTCCGATCGGATAAAATAAATACGTGTTTTATTATGCCGAGAGATGAATGTTAGCAGGATTGTTTATCTGTACTGGTAGGAACCTCCTGGTTACACCAGCCCACAGGGGATTATTGTGTCCGTCCGTCGTGCATCCAAAAATGGGAGGGGTGGGGCTGGGTGGAGAGGTTGGGGAGGGTGGGGAGGGGCTGGGATGGGGAAGGGAGGGGCTGGGTGGAGAGAGTGGGGCTGTGTGGGGGGTTGGAAGTGGCTGGTCACCCCGTGGTGCCCTTATAAAACTCAACGTTTAACCTACTCACGCCGGCTTGTGCCCGCCCTCAAATTTGAGGTGTCGGATGTTTAGGCAATTAATCCACTCAACGTTGGCTACTTATTTGTCCTTGATTATCTCGGGCCCTTTTAAAAATGACAACCATCCCCTAAAAGCCACACTGAGCATGACGAGGCCTAGACTTCCGATGACATCATCACGCCCCGCCCACCACCTCCCGTCCAGCGTCACAAGTGGGATTACAGAGGTGAAACTTGTTTTCCCAACTATTGTTGCGTTTTTTTTTAAGCGGGCAATCCAACTGATGGACGGTGGACTAGTCGATTACAGAAAATCTGACTCAAACATCGTAAATGCAATTTGTTTAGTTATTTTACATATTCATTTGCACGCCACTGTGAGATAATAAGGTGGTTGTTAATTAGCCAAAGAATGCACACAAGCAACACCATCATTGTTTTATGTTTACTTTCTTAGCTCTACAAAATTTATTTTAAGAATAACAAAATCTATATTAACATGGTTACAATGATGATAACAAAAATATTGTCAAAGATAAATTATATCACGTGGATAATTCACATACCATTAAAATCTCCGACAATTTTTTCCTCTTTTAATAAACAATCATTATTTTTAATATTCTACAACTGTACTAGGCATAGAAGACAAGACAGAAAATTAATAAGGGTATAGTTACAACAACATTCATTATGTACGGTACTTTTTCCTCGACCGGTCCAGCAATTTGGTTGAAAATTAATCTTTGGCAGTCCCTTCAATTACTTCGTCGTTCATTAAGACACGGCAGTGTTATTCTTCCTTCTTGGTTCTTTCAGTAAAGTCACGTAGAAGGGAAATAATAAAATAATAAAAATAAAACATAATAAAATAAAACTCACGACGTTTCGGCCACAACGCAAGCAGCCGTCCTCAGGTGAAGAACAGGTCTGTCGGAAAGACAGCGTCTGAATGACCTGTTCTTCACCTGAGGACGGCTGCTTGCGTTGTGGCCGAAACGTCGTGAGAATTATTTTATTATGTTTTATTTTTATTGTTTTATTATTTCCCTTCTATGTGACTTTACCGAAAGAACCAAGAAGATGAATCCCTGCAGTCACGAAAGCTTTACATCGGCAGTATTTTTGTGAAATATGAAGCTTCTAAAGAAAGCATATACATTTAAACGGAGTGTGATTTTAATTAAAGTATCGGTGTGTCTTACCTTGTCTTTGTCTACGCTGAGAAACCGTTTCACCGGAGCGTACGTACTGCCAAAACAAACAGCAACACACACGTCAAGTTACAGCTCCTTCTCGGTCAGAATCAAAAACGTGATTGATACCAGAGGAATCTGATCTCGGTCAGAATCAAAAACGTGATTGATACCAGAGGAATCTGATGAGCTACGAAGCTCTTTTTCACAGATGTCAAGAAGTTTTACAGGAGAGGCTCGCAGCCTCATGGTGACTCAATAGGCACCATCACCCTTTGTTGGGACATCACTGCCACTTTTCACTTAAAATCAACAACACAAATCTATTCCCCTTCGGTGTAGATTAAGTTCAGGCGCACATCACATTGTGAGCATGCATAATGCGATTTCCATGCAGATGAATGCATAAAGACAGTCGCCAAGCGGAAGAGCCATCAGCGGCACCGCATGGCTGAGCACTTGGCCCGCCGCTCCGAGCGAGCAGTTACCAGCTCTTGCTTGATTGGCTACAGAAATTGGAGGAGCATCGCAGCCATTTGTTCAAGGTTAGACCCAAGTAATAACGGCACCTACTTTATAAAGATTTACTCCCGGATCCCATCACCCTGTGGAGGAACGTTGCTCATTCTAAAATCTAATTCAGTGCGGCAGAATTCGTGCCTTCGCGTCAGGATCATCAACCACCCTCGGCAGACTCTCGCTTTAACACGTTTACGTGGGCCAATGTTTTGAAGCGGCCCATATGATGAGAATAACAAAAATGCCGCGTCGGCAGCTAAGACTTCAAAACAATGTGCATCCGTGGCTGCGCTGATGCAGCGGTAAATAAATAAATACGGCCGATAAATAAGAGTGCATCGATTCACCTGCCACTTACAAGTGTCATCCGTCCGCCTTGAAATACTGCGCCTCAAAAGTTATTAGTCAAAACTTGTCCAGGTTTTTATTGACCATCCCCGGCGCTATTTTTGAGTGCTGCATTTTTCACGACGCACTGACGGTGCACCGATGGGAATTCTGTGTGCAGACATGCACGGACACGCTACACCCAATCCAGTTCCAAGTGGCTTCTTACTGACGCTACACACGGTGTGCACACGTAACCCCATCACTGCACACGAGCGGTGCAGAGAATCACCTTCCCTGCCTCGGCGATTCATAGATTTCATAAACATCATGCGGTAGAAAGGTAAAGGTGCAGCATTGTAATGTACTGCTCAAGCCACTGCTGGTGAAAGGGCCTCCAAGAGAGGTTGCCGCGGTGGCTAGGAGATGTTAACTACCTCGCCTGGTATACAGGAAGTCGTGGGTTCGGTCCCAACCCTGACGCCTGCTGCTGTATATTTGGAGTTTGCGTGTCTCTCTCTCTCTCTCATCATCATCACGGTGGCTAGGAGATGTTAACTACCTCACCTGGTGTGCAGGAGGTCGTGGGTTCGATCCCGACCCTGACGCCTGCTGCTGTATATTTGGAGTTTGCGTGTCTCTCTCTCTCATCATCATCACGGTGGATAGGAGGTGTTAACTACCTCGCCTGGTATACAGGAAGTCGTGGGTTCGGTCCCAACCCTGATGCCTGCTGCCGTATATTTGGAGTTTGCATGGTCTCCCCGTGGCCGCGTGGATTTTATCCAGGTCCTCCGTTTTTTTTGCCCACATTTATAATCAATATGCGTTTATAGTATTTGGCTGCTGCTATACATTTCCATTAGATAAACCACTTCGTTGAGTCATCATGTGTGGCAAGGTCGCTTCTGAAAAAGAACGATATCGCTCAATGGGCCTTTAAATGAAATAAAATAAAGTTTAGTTTAAGGTGCTCTAGAGAATCCGTTTCGGGAGGGTATTAGGCCTACTGTTCCATTTTCATCAGACATCTTGAAAGAGGCGGGAGCAGCCACACTTTACCCCCCCACCACATGAGCTGCCAATCAATGAACTGTCGTGCACACGTTTACTCTGCTGTGTGGATGGAGGGGGTGGGTGATAAGAAATGTGCCCGATGTTTAAACTGCATCGGCCTTTGGATTGCAAGTCCATTGTGCAACCATTGTACCACAGCAGCAACTGACACCATAGTTGCAGCATTGATTCATACACATACTAAATTCAATGCACCGTTACACGTAGTTTGCTCCTCTGCTACATACAACACAAGCCTCTCCAACAAAAACAAAGAGTATGGCTTGACTGTTTATTTTAACATAAACTAAATTGCTAATACACAAAATTATACCGATGTATTAACCAATGCAATAATGATGAGTAAACGTGACCACAGCATGATCTATTAACACTACATTTAATAAATACATCGTAATCGTCTCCAGCAATATTTGTTGTGGTCAAAGATAGAAACGCACTGACGAGCAGCGGTCAAAGGACATAAAAAAAACAGGGCCCCTTATTTTATCTCAATACTCAATTTATTCTATTCCATGTCCTCTTTCAGCATGTCAAACGGGGTAATTGTGCCACCTGACAGATGTGGCAGCGTTGGCAGCACCACCAAGCACCCACCGCAGAAGCGTGCATACACATGGCACTGTCCAGCACTGCAGACTGCAATGTAAATATAAATGCCTGACGATTTTCTTTGTGCATTTTTTTTTTACTTGAACTTCGCCGATACACTCGGGAAGTTAAGAGTCAACCTGCGGTGGAGAGGATTTGGGGCTGACAGTCTTTAACACGAAAAAAACATACTTCACTTTCTCTGTTCACAAAATTATGGTGTGTAATGGGAGCAGGGATGTTTTTTTTTTTATCACAGCAAGGCAACATCTGGATAAATAGACTTGTAAAAATAATCTTAAAAGATGTTGCATTCCAGGTACCGGCGAAGACCCCGGGGCCAGCCCAGGACACGCTGTTGAGACTATGTCGCTCAGCTGGCCTAGGAGCACATGGGGATTCCCCAGGAAGAGCTAGAGTCTGTGTATAGTGTAGTGTATAGTAGTGTAGTTTATAGTAGTGTAGTTTATAGTAGTGTATAGTGTAGTAGTATAGCATAGTAGTGTATAGTGTAGTGTATAGTAGTGTAGTTTATAGTAGTGTATAGTGTAGTAGTATAGCATAGTAGTGTATAGTGTAGTAGTATAGCATAGTAGTGTATAGTGCAGTAGTATAGCATAGTAGTGTATAGTGTAGTGTATAGTGGTGTAGTTTATAGTAGTGTATAGGGTAGTAGTATAGCATAGTAGTGTATAGTGTAGTAGTATAGCATAGTAGTGTATAGTGTAGTAATATAGCATAGTAGTGTATAGTGTAGTGTATAGTGGTGTAGTTTATAGTAGTGTATAGGGTAGTAGTATAGCATAGTAGTGTATAGTGTAGTAGTATAGCATAGTAGTGTATAGTGTAGTAATATAGCATAGTAGTGTATAGTGTAGTGTATAGTGGTGTAGTTTATAGTAGTGTATAGGGTAGTAGTATAGCATAGTAGTGTATAGTGTAGTAGTATAGCATAGTAGTGTATAGTGTAGTAGTATAGCATAGTAGTGTATAGTAGTGTATAGTAATGTAGTGCTGGAGTCTGTCACCGGGGAAAGGGAGGTCTGGACCACCCTACTTAACATACTGCCACCACCATCACCCTCACCAGGACAAGTGGACTGAGAAACAAACAATGAAATTAAAAATGCAAAAACAATCATCACAACCGAGCTCAGATAGTGTTGCCTCAGAACTAACATCTGAATTCTCACCGAGCATCTGTACGATTGCCCAAGAGCAAATTTGCTTCTCGAGTCATTTTACCAGAGAGTCAACTGAAAACCACCTGGGGTGGTAAATTCTGTCGTGGCACCAATGTATTTTAAACGACCAATAAAAGTGAATTAAATGAACGACTGTTCAAATGAGAATGTTATCCCATATCACCTTTATTGACCGCATACAAATAAAGCTCCCGCACGTATTTTTGATGCCTAATGACGCTCGGCACGCACCCATACAGGATACATCGTGATTCAGAACCACGGCGCTGAATTTGAACGCAAACGCTGGCAACATACTTATTTTTGTTCACTAGAATAAGCAAAAGGGCTTCTGTCAATCGTGTCTTTGCGCATTTACTATCTTTGGCGAGCCCGTGCTTTCTTTGTGCAGCTGTTCTGTGTTTGGTGGCAGCTGCTTCCTCCATGACTGTCCACTGACAGACACTGTGCCTGTGATGGTCTGACACTCGGACAGAGCTGCGGATCAGCGCCACTGCGCCTGGCCAACATTTAGAAATTCCCATGAAAAGTGCAATTTATTTACGCGGTTTCTTTCATCCCTTCCCCCACCCGCCTCCCCCCCCTGCCCCGATTTTTTTCTCCTTTCTATCGTTAACCTGGTACACAGGTGTGCAAACGTTTTCTTCAATAGAGCAGAGCAGAAGCAGCGGAAAAGAGTGTGAAGAATGTAACTCGCGGGATGCCGCGGTGGTTCTACTTGCGGGACGCTATGAGGAGTCGCGTAAAGAAATACGTGTCGCGTGAACATTCACGCGTGCACGACTCCGCACGGACATTAAACGTGAGCGCGATTACGAGACTAAATTGATGTGTGGGGGTTTCTTGACTTTTTCGTTTTATTTTTTTGGGAAAGGCTCCAGTTGCGAGGCTGAGCACCACAAGAGCAGCCGGGCAGGATTAAAGGAGGCCTGGCTTCAGGGGCCACAGTCCAGGGCCTTGTATTTTGAGGGACCTCGAAAATATATACACACACGTACTTCTTCACAATGGTTGAAACTGCAATACTGCAGCACGATGATGAATCCTAAAACGTAATTTGGTCATTAATGTCACGGCATCACCAAGTGTATTGCTATAGTCCTGGGCAGAACTCAATATAGCTGTATTTGATTTAACCTGGATTGCGTAGAAATTAAATATTAAAGGTAAATAACAATGCGGTGTTTGAGCATTGTGCATTGGGTGGTGAGAAAACAGTGGTAGGAAGGAAATGAATATAAAGAGCAGCTCCCAAAACCATAACAGCCCTGGGCCCCATCACACTAAACTAGCCCTGCACAGGAGACAATGAAGGCTGGAGTCAAGGCCTTTAACACAAGGCCAAATTCCACATCCTACAACCATTTATAACACAACAGACATTCACCCAGGCTTCAGATTAAAGGCCCTGACAAAATGTTAGATGAGGCAATCGTTACTTCCCCGGTGAGCGTTTTCTCACGTTGCCACATCACGACTGTAATGCTGACGCGCGCGATGTGTGTTCCGACAGACAGATGTGCCTTCACATCTGTGACTCAGCAGCTCTGTACGTGTCTACCTCAATGTGCTGGGACCGAAGGTCTTCTTTAAGGACCAACACGTTCAATATCCGCTGTCTTCCGCAGCCACGATGCAATATGAAAAGGCTTTAAAGGCGTGCTTTCAGTTACGTAAAAATATATATATAAAGCGGTATTTTAGAGTTGTTTTTTTTTGTATGGCAGTGCAAGAAGTCCAATGTGGTTATGAACTGAGCCTCCTGCTATTCCCATAGCTCTGCACAAACATGCTGCATTTGTTATTTTAAAAAATATATAAATTCGCTTACAAAAAATAATCTGAGGGGCGTTAAGAAAACAAAATAATAATGGCAAAAGCCACCTCTCAAAAGAAAAACCCGCCATGGTAAACTGTGTTTGATGACAAACAATTTAAATGTTTTGCCCAGCATGCTGGTTAGATAATCTCCATGCAGATGTCCAGTTGCAGTTTAGGGAATTCTTGGGACAAATGAACAACAGGCCCTTTGGCATTGCCCATTAACCCTTTCCTCTACGGGACAGAGGCCAAGTGCAAGAGGAGCAAACCCTCCTATCATCCAATAATGCCTGATTTTAATCTCCACTTCAAAGTGAGCAATGCGCATGGACAGAAAGTGGCAGAGGGGGGAAATAACAGCAACTGAAGACCGCACTATTTTTTTTACTGAATTACAATCCATCAAAGACCAGGATTAAGGATTAAGAATTTTTAAAAATGTGTGCCCCGCTTTTTCACCTACGCTAACTGTCATTTAATTCAATCCTTTAAGTCGAGGTGAAGGAAGGATTAGGGGATCTCTAGCCAACATTTATTTTCCATTAACGGCCACGACTGTTTTCCCAGTTCACCGTGAGATGAGCAGAGGGATCAATCTGCTTCTCCAACTAAGGCCGCTGGCTGGGGATGATTAACGTCGTTTTGATGCCCGGCCACAGACGGTCGGCACCATGCAAGGCAACAGAGGACATATACGATTTCTACATTGGCAGTAAATGCCCTCCCTGCTGTGAAATATATATTGAGCCATTCGCAGCTCGCATCAGGCTCACGGCTCCACGTGCCGCACTGGGCTACGCTACGGGGCGGCATGAGAGGAGATGATCTCGTTTAATATCGGCTGCATGTATTTCGCAAGACTCGCTCGCACTATTCGCTGCGCGTCAAAACATATGCCGTAATAGTTGAATCGTTTGAAGATTACTGAGTAGATGCTACATCGCAAAATTGTAAACTGTGGCCGCGGCTTGGGGAGGCTTTCATCCTGCAGTGGATTGACCATGGCTGATTATTATGATGAGTAAATATGAAGGTGTGTGTACCGTTGCATTGATTCATTAATGAAAATATTCTTGTGCTCACGACACAAGCATCGAATTGTACTTATAGATTAATTTTGGTCCAGTGCGTTGTATGAAAAAAATGTTCACGTAAACATTGCAGGCACTAGTTGCTACGTATTCACCAGAAAGGGAAAAAATAAACATTTTAAAATCTGAATCGAGACCCTGATTTGTGGTAAATCATCAACTTGCGGAAAAGGCTAATTATTCAATGCCTATTAATGAAAATTATTTCTCTCCCAAATCCCAGTCCTTGCAACCCGCTGCGCGGCGTCTTTCCGTGTTAATACAGCAGATTCAAATTAAGATCGAGATCTCGGCATGCGTGCGTATGCACAGGTTGCACGTGACGCAGTGCGGTGTCAATTGCTCAGCACGTCATGTGGGACGTGCCTGACGATCATCGGGCGCGTGCAGCGTGGATCGAGTTCATTTGTATTTGAATGGGGAGTAAATTGGTGAACGCTGGGATGATGTGGCGCGGTGGTGGATCGCGAGGGCTTGGAGTTTGGGAAACCCTGCTCGTAACACATGGCAGATATGTACATTGGTACAATGGCGGGCATGGCCACCACGTAATACAAGGGCAATATCAGGGATGCAATGCAAGAGCAAGGTCCTACTCATGTGAATCTGATTAATGGCAATTTCACTTCTTCTGTGCCAGGACACAGCTGCTAAGATTTAAAATGCAACTCAGAATGTGCTGACAAACAGCTAACGCTTTCCCTTCGCCATTTCCATGCACCAGCCCTGAAAGGCTTGCTTCCACCTCAATGGGCGAAGGACAGGCGTGTACAAAGTAATTTGTCAATCGCACCCCATTCGACTCGGACGGCTTGTGCGGTCAACTTGATGCACAGCAAAGGCCCTCGAACAACAACGATGACAGAAAGCTGAACCTTGCACAAACATCTCAAGCAAAGCAAAGGTGCGTGGCTTCTGAGCACGAATTAGGGCCATGCAAATAAACCAGCACTAATACCAAGCCAAGATAGCACGGCTCAGTGGGTTCACAAATAGAATTACAAGTCTGCGCCTATTTATTGTTTAAATCACCTTGACTCCTGTTATCACGCGCACGTCAAAGGCAATCTCAAAATCGCTTCTGAGCCCGGCTCCTTGCAGGCCTAACGGCGACTCACGCGGACGAATCCGCTGAGCGGCGGGCGCAAGAGAGGGTGCGTGCATGTGACACTCACAATCGTATATCACCGACGGACAGGGCGCTGGCGATCCACATGAGGTCCAGCACCTTGAAGGGCACAAGCACGAAGCTGACATTGGCCGGCAGGTTCTTGGCACTCTCCGGGTACATGAAGTGATGCGTCGTGCGTGCCCCGACATCGGTCTCAAAGCCCAGGGTTGGCGCTTGGTTAATCCTGCCACAGCACGCAGACACACACGCAAAGTTCACAAGGTTATGGTCAAGCGCGCTCGCCGCTCAGCTGGTTTACGCTGCGTCGATGATTCTACCCATGCTGTGTTGATGGTTCGATCCCACAGCCGTCCAATTAGATATTAATAGATTTCCAAAAATGGACCACATGCTCTAATTACGAAACATGCTCTGTTGTAAATCGTTGTTCAAGATCGTGGAATGGCTACATCGTGACTGCCATGGTACTAAATTTCGATTTAAAGCTTTCGTGACTGCAGGGATTCATCTTCTTGGTTCTTTCGGTAAAGTCACGTAGAAGGGAAATAATAAAATATAATAAAAATAAAACATTATAAAATAATTCTCACGACGTTTCGGCCACAACACAAGCAGCCGTCCTCAGGTGAAGAACAGGTCTGTCGGAAAGACAGTGTCTGAATGGGCACCACCAGGCTTGGCAGCGTATATTTAAGCTGGGTTGGAGGGGGGGAAGGGGCGCCTTGACAAATGAATTTGCATATCAAGAGGAATTTAGCAGACGCTGTCTTTCCGACAGACCTGTTCTTCACCTGAGGACGGCTGCTTGCGTTGTGGCCAAAACGTCGTGAGAATTATTTTATTATGTTTTATTTTTATTATATTTTATTATTTCGCTTCTATGTGACTTTACCGAAAGAATCAAGAAGATGCCATGGTACTGTTCCATGAACTTCACTCGTTGGTTCCTCCATGCATGTTGAGGACTCGGTCTACCAGACTGACTGTTTCATGTCATCCACACACTGCAGATCACAAGTCTTCCCTTTATGCTTATTTTTTAAAACTGCTCCACTTCAGCATTCCCTCTATCACAGCAAAAGGAATGTATGTCAAGGACGAGTCAGATGGAATGAAACGGGTTTGGTTTTTAACAGTGTTGTTCATTTTAATTTTAGGGGCAAACACTTTGAGCATTAATAATCATATGAGTTGCTGCGATCACGTGATGTTCATGATGAGTCCTCTTATTTTTTTTAGGTTGAGTGAGATTTGTGGGGTTTAACTGGAATCCTGGAAAATGGGACATCGGTCATTTAGTCTCAAAACTTTATCAATAAGGTGTTGCCTGGAACATAATCGGCCCGTTTTTGTTTGAGCACTTTTGAGATCGGGGAGAAACTAACGAGTCAGAAAAAAATTCAGCTTCAGGAAATGATGTTGAAACATTGTATTGACAAATCACTGACATAAAAAAACAGTGCTACAATATACACACGTGCTATATCTCAAACAACGTCAGTGCCATATCTCAAATTCGTGCTGCTCAAGTACAAAATAACAATTCTAGATTTGAAGCTTTCGTGACTGCAAGGATTCATACTCTTAGGTTTTTTCGGTAAAGTCACGTAGGTAAAAAATTTAAATTAATAAAAGTAAAATAAAACAAATTACAAAATTCACGACGTTTCGAAAGCAACACAAGCCTCCGTCTTCAGGTGGAACCGTCACCGCCACGACAGCTGTATCAAGTAAAAAAATTAAAATAAAAATAAAAAATACAGCTGTCGTGGCTGTGACGGTTCCACCTGAAGACGGAGGCTTGTGTTTCTTCCGAAACGTCGTGAATTTTTTAATTTGTTTTATTTTACCGAAAAAACCTAAGAGGAGAAAATAACATTCATAACCACCTGTGTTTGATCACCATACTATCCCTTGTAATGGAGGAGGGGGGGGGGTGGCGAAATGCAATTCCAAGTACTGTAGAATCGAACTGCAATCACAGAATAGGCAGACTTGCACGCTATAACATACGCCGTTTATGCGTAAATGCGTCAACGTCCCCCAAGGCCGCTCTCAGGCTCAACATGCGCACTAAGCCTTAAAAACAATTGGGCATTGACGGCACAATGCATGCTGCGACTGTAAAGACTCCAGTCTCTAGAGTACCGTTACATTTCGATCGCCTGTTCTCGTGGCAATACCGTCTCATGCGCTGCAAAGGACATCTTTTAAAAAAAAAAAACCTGATAGGAAAAATATTTTACCAATAGCTCCCTGTGTTGCAGCCGGATACAAATATCACCTGCTGTTCAGGAGCGCACTGTGGCAGGCGTGGAGATGATTACCTGATCATAAAAGACAGGTGGGCTTATTTATTCACGTACAGGAACTATGGTGGAGAAACCTTTGTTTGTTCCTGCCGCTAGGTATAAAAAAAATATATCACGCTGCGGATCAAAGGCAGACTTGCAGGAGCAGATTTTTATTTTCAAGAATCAGTTTGGCATTGCCTACCCAGTTCCAAAGTCACTTCTACACAATTGTTGGCCAGAAATGCATTGTTGTGCAGATAACTGCAATGGAAAATTGCATATTAGCAGAATAAACTATCCCCTGGGCATAAATAATCACGTAATTTCGCGTCGAACTTGGGACGCATTTTTTCCCAGACATAGTTCTTCCCTATAAACACCAGGCAGTTCCCCGATATTGATTCATACAAACGAGATTCTGCTGATCAAACACTGCATTTCAAAACCGGGTCACAGTTTGCTTGTGGCAAACCAATGTCGCGGACACGGTGCACTCCTCCTAGAAGGCTGTGCAGCTAGCACGGTTGGCTACGTACTGGTGCGAAAGAAGTTCAACATATATACACACATGAGCTGTGTAAAAAAACAAGAATTTGTTTATGTAGAGAGACAAAAAAAATGGGACGCTAATTTTCGAAAAAACAACACAGCACCCAGCGTGACGTCCTTTTAACGTGAGCAATGGGGGAAGATGACGACAACCACCTCGCGGCTGTGTGTGAAAACACAACGGACGCCATCAAATCGGCGACCGAGCATCGCTACGATCGTCCTCCCGGCCAGAAAAAACAATGGCGACGAAGGAAACGGCCCTCGCGGTGACCAGGCCCGACATGTCGATCGGATCATCGCTGCTGCGAAGCACGCAGGAAAACATCACAGGGATGTCGAATGTCTTCCCAAACTCAACAGTCATAACGTTTTGTCAGTCGCTCTTCAAACGCCGCACGAAACAAAGGAAGCGAGCCCTGCGAAGGCAAGGGCAGGCTGCGCCGGACTCGCCTGCATCGCAATGCCCCGGTGCGCACACGACGATTCGGAGTCTCCATCGTAAATCGAGTGAGAAAATTGGCATTTCAAACGAGCGTCAGCAGCTGCGCCAGCCAGCGCCACTTACGCGGCTGGGAACGCCTGGCAGCCAGGGCGCGCTTGCCGCTGGGCCCAATCGTGCGGACCCGGCCGATGATCCACTAGAATCGCGGTGCGACGCCAAACGATTAAACTTCACTTAAAGGCCATTTCCACGGGAAGAAAATGATGCAATGGAGAGAAAAGCCATCGAAGGCAACATCCCACACCACAAGCGTGAATCTGGGCTTTTACATTTATTGTTTATAAATGTTTCTATTGTTACAGGCAGTTGGTTGCGACATATTAAAGAGCCATTACTGGCACGATGTATAATAAAGCGTGACATTGTTCTCAGAATTTTGCTACAGCGGAAACTGACAAAATGAGCATTCTTTTTATTACATTGTAATTTTAGCGCTCGTATTTTTTTTTTGCTTTCCTTAACCTGCTCAGGTTTGCTTCAGTGTAATGAGTCTTAATTTACATCGCACCGAAATGCTTTTCTCGAGTGCAGCTTAAGTAAAACACACAGTGTGTGGTAATGTGTTGGAGGCAATTAGAGATAGCGACAGGCACTTTGTGTGAAAAATGCAGCCGGGCTAAGTAGTAAAAATGGGAACGTGTGACGGGTTTTGCGTTATTTGATTATTACTTAATGCAGCCCCTTTGACCCTCTGTGCACGACTGCACGATGTTTAATAACCCCCTCGCACTGGAGTGGTCCCCGCAGATGTCACGGTCACTTGCAAAAGGCTAATGCGTTATCATAACGGAATTCATAAAATCGAATGTATTAACGTTTAATTTTGCTCATTCACATCCTATGAAGACTATTTTGCCATGAGGTTAAATGTCTTTGGAATAATTGACGATAAAAAATATACTTTCCATTATCCAATGAACTTAGATAAAACGTAGGCCTGGACTTAATGCACGGTTAACTATTTTGATCATTATTAAAAAAAATTCAGAGTTCGTAAAACAAACATAGCAAAGGCAATGCCTTTACGAAAAGCAAACCAATCTTCGAGCGTGACTGCTCAGAGGAACGCTTTGGCAGTCACACTCAAACACGTATACAATGAAAAAAAAGATATTAATAAAAAGCAAATAAGCGCAATTCATCAATCATGAAAAAACATGTTTTTTTAGTTGTGCTTAGATGAACTGTTTACTCCCGGGATGACATTCAAAGGGCTCTTCACTTTCAGTAAGCCTATGAGCAATGATCATATAATTATACTGTACATAGTCCACTGTATGGATGTCAATTTTCAATTCATATGAATTCCCTTCATGTAATCCTCCATATTCATAAACACACAACAGTGTGTGTGTGTGTACACGTGCAGGTGGGAGCAGTGGCACAGTAGTTAGCACACTGCCCCATGAACCGAGTGACTTGGGTCCGATTGCCGGTTACCGCCAAGATCGATGACAAACATCTGAACTTGTCCTTAGGCCTCCCCCGAGGTTGACTCGTGTTTGGCGTGAAAACATCAGCGCTGGGAAGACAATTACCCACCGGGTATGGTACTAGCTACAACAACTCGTCCACCATACTGCCCTTAACTGGTGCTTGCGAACAGCACTCATCCAAACAGACTGTCAGGCTTACACCGGGACCCCCTTTTGTTTTCGTGCGTAAGTGTGTGCACGTGTGTCAAAAGACCACGATCAAAGGAAGAATTAAAAAAAGCTGAAATTTAATCAAGAAACAAAAAAAGTTTTTTTCTTTTAAGTTTGCGTGCTATTCTCAATTATGTTGGCAAGAGATATAACGCAAAACTAGATTCACAGATTATCAGAACACACGTTGGCTACCGGTAATAGCGTTCAAATATCAGCGGCTAAGGGTCGGTGAGATTAACTAGCGCATTAAATTGCAGTGTTTCCCTCAGGGAGTAGGGCCCAATAGTTTTGCTCAGGAGCTGGAGCGCGTGCTATGAAAAACACATAACGCAGCTGGGCACAACACGGCATGTGATTATGTTTCACGGTGTTGTGGTTTTGTGTATTTCTTTTCAATGAAGGTTGTACCAAAGAAGGTTACGGCTCTTTGTGCACTTGCGAAAATGGCCATAAAACGGGCCTTGTTAAATGCAAGTGATGTTTACGCACTTTTCAAATGAAGGACAATTTTAAATGAGATTCTAGATGGGTTGTGAAGCATTCAATTATTTGAGACAATTAGGGCTCAGTGAAAGCCTTACAACAGGGCCCTTGGCAAAGAAAGACATGACCAGCTACATTTCAGTAGAATCACCCAAAACGTCCTGGCAATCGCATGTCTTTGTAGCGCCCAGGTCACCTTGACACTCGCGCGTTCGCGAAGAGCCGATGTGGTCACCTTCAATGGTAAAGTGGCCCAGTGTAATGATGTAAACAGACTTTGCACAACACTGACAATTCACACACAAGAAACCATCTCAAGAGTAAGTGCCCAACCTTGGTAGGAGAGTATTAAAAAGGAACTCGCCAAATCAAAAAAAAGTCTTCCGAGCACGAATAATGATTTATTTTAATGACTGTAGTACTGTATGTCTTCCCGAAGTGGCCTGCACCCACGGTAAAAAAAAAAAAGCCAGAGATTTTTTCCTGCTGAAATAAAAATAGTAATGAGAGCAATTTATAACTTATCTGTCCAGTATCGCCACACTGGCTCACAAGACTCTTTTTCAGGAGGTTCCTGCATTGGGTTTTTATTTTAAGATTTTTGCAGCCACTCAATAATTATTGTTTATGCATGTGGAAGGAAACCAGAGAACTCGGAGATATAACCCACGCACGCAATGGGGGTAAAACTCCCTCCCCATACAGATGTAAACAGATGGAAATTCATCCACTGGCTGGACTGGGTTACAGGCAGCCACGTGTAGCATAGCCACGACCGCCCAAGCGTGGAGGCGGTACTCATTTCCTGTTTACAATGCTGAGCCAGTGGGTGGGTTTCCACATTCCTTTGGCGGGGGCGAGTCGAGCCATTGAACGAACAACGACCGTTGACTTCCGCGCAACGTGGTACTCGCTCTATTGACCCCGCAGGGGATGTTGGCTCAAGTCAAGCCCCGACCAGGGTTGAACCGTCAACCTTGCCGACAGCGAGCCCCCCAGATCGGACGCAACGTGCCGCGTACCTCATGACAAAGTCGTGCTGGTCGATCTCCTTGCCGCCGCCGGCCCCGAGCAGGTTCCCCGAGTTGCCCACGACAGCGCAGCGGCGGCAGCGCGCCCATCCGTGGTCCTGGTACGGGTTCTGGCCAGGGATGATCTCAAACAGACGGTTCAGCACCGTCCGCAGGTCCTGCGCCTTGTATTGCGACTGTAGCGACTGAAGCGAGAGAAACGAAAGGAAAAGGCAAGGTCAACAAAAAAAGGCAAGGTAAAAAAAATGGCACCAAAGGTCAAAGGTAAAAAAAAAATCACCACATGGTGTGGGCGGTGCTCATTCTTCAAAGTTCACATCTGCGAGCGCACAAGGAGAACTTTAGCATTGCCTCACGGTCAAATGCATTCTAGACGAGCATGCACTTCAACGTGGCAATATTGCCTACGTTCAAATCACCTTCAATTGGCCTGAACTCATCAGGTTGCAGAAGCTAAGCACATTTAAGCCATAATTGTTCTTTTAGATATAGTTTCAAAACCTAGTTTTATCCATTGGCTTTTCCTGTAGTATGATTGGATTTTACCTCTCCTGCAAGTGTAATTATTACTAGATTTAATCATATCGTGTCTGCATATTGCAAGCGTAACTTTTATTGTTATCATTGGCTTCTAATTAACTTTGCTTTATCTATACTTAAGTACAGTTGTTTTTGTATGTACAGCACTTTTGAGATATTTCGATATGAAAGGTGCAATATGAAATGCAGATAATTATGAGTACCTGAACGGGACACTGGCTAGGAATTCCCAAGTAATGTAGCTTGGGATGTGAGGTGGCTTAGAGATGCCGGTGGAGTAATGGATTTACAAGTCTGTTATGGCCTTCTGTGCGGGTACGCTGGATAGTTCGTATAACCTAGGTTCTTCCCACATGCCAAATATTCATTCATGGAACTTGCCAGAGGTGTGGACTCGAGTCATGTGACTTGGACTCGAGTCAGACTCGAGTCATGAATTTGATGACTTCAGACTCGACTTGGACTTGCATAACAATGACTTTGTCCCACCTCTGAGGTGTGGACTCGAGTCATGTGACTTGGACTCGAGTCAGACTCGAGTCATGAATTTGATGACTTCAGACTCGACTTGGACTTGCATAACAATGACTTTGTCCCACCTCTGAGGTGTGGACTCGAGTCATGTGACTTGGACTCGAGTCAGACTCGAGTCATGAATTTGATGACTTCAGACTCGACTTGGACTTGCATAACAATGACTTTGTCCCACCTCTGAGGTGTGGACTCGAGTCATGTGACTTGGACTCGAGTCAGACTCGAGTCATGAATTTGATGACTTCAGACTCGACTTGGACTTGCATAACAATGACTTTGTCCCACCTCTGAGGTGTGGACTCGAGTCATGTGACTTGGACTCGAGTCAGACTCGAGTCATGAATTTGATGACTTCAGACTCGACTTGGACTTGCATAACAATGACTTTGTCCCACCTCTGGAACTTGCCAAACATCCCCATACAGGATCCTGCTGCAAAGGAGTCTTGAGACTCAGCGATGGTCTTGTGAGAAAAAACTAATCAAATTCTTGTTCCCATCTTTCAACACTTACGAATATTATTAATCATTTAACATTCAAGTGGAATGTCAGTGGCCACAGTAGCAGTAACAGTGTACACAGAGGTTACGAATTGACCCAATTACATTCAAAATATTTAGCCCACACTCTCACATGATGAAAGTCACGATGACTAATACAAGTCATTGCTTCCAAAGCCCAACCAAGTTTAATTAGCTCACTGTAATTGTCATCAATTTTCACGACATGTCTTTTTAATGCTTTAAAAAAAAAGATGTAAATTTCACAAACTCTAATCGAATTATAAATTATCCTAACGTAACATTTTAATTAAGAAAATGTGGGTTTTAAAATTGCTCAGAATTTTAAATTGCAAATCGTCATCAGAAATGAAACCGAGGTGCAGCAGAGGTGAAATTGTTTGTTGGAGCACTGCCACTATGAACCTTCACACATCAATTGAATTCCCGGTCAATCCTGACATCAGTCGCAAGGGTTGTATGTGAACCATTCCTCGGGCTGTCCCCACCACGAACCTGAACCAAGCAGCGAGGTGAAGTATGGTCCATCAATGCTTATGCCAAAAGGCATGGGGTTAAAGCTTAATCCAGCAGTGGATTAGCAAATAGCTCAAACTTTTATAAGCGAGACTTGCAGTTCACGAGCATGTAACGGTATTAGATATCTTGATTTGAAGCTTTCGTGACTGCAGGAATCCATACTCTTTGGTTTAATCGGTAAAGTCACATAGGTAGAAAATTAATAGATCACGATGTTTCAATCGCAACACAAGCAACCGTCATCAGGTGAAACAAACACAGCAGGAGAACTGCTGACGTAGGTATTATATAAGTATATTTAGAGATGACTAAAACGTGGGGCATCTACGTTCCGCACCATGCATTATTTCTCAACGATTCCTTTGTACTCATTCAACGTTTCCCAATACAAACATCTTATTCCAATTGTATTCGTGTTGAGCCGACTGTAGCCAGCTCATGCCCTTTAAAAAAAAAAGAAATGAATGCCTGCATGGAAAGAACGCCAAATATATATATGCGTGTACTTCAACATGTTTCATAAAACACGTTCAAATTTGCGCACAACGGAAATGTTTGCTTTGCCGGTCCATTACATGTGCACGGCAGCTCTTCTGACGAGCTTCACGAGAGATCGACCGTTCAAATCCTGTTCCAAGTCCCGCACAAACGGAGGTCAAGCAGCAGCTTTACCTTATCACTGTTTACGTTACTGATTAACAGGTTGGACATTATGGTCAACCCTAAGCACTCGATCCTGGGTCGGGAGGTGACGAAACGATGGCACCAAACGTTCGGTTTCGCAGCACCGGGTCGTCGTCGGCAGGACGATTCTCACCGTTGCCATCAAATGAGTTCATTGTGCGCAATAAAAAAAATTAAGACAACCGTGCAATGAACATTTATATGAATGCTCAAGTTGAAGCAGGCAATGAGCGACGACGACATGACACTCCTGCAACCAGCTCCAACCGGTGACAATTAAAACCCTGCTGCAAACACAACATTTCGACAGCATGCAAATAACTATAGCGTAGAAAATATAACGTTACTTTTACGCGAATAAAAATTACAGTGTCCGAGGCACGGTATTTCCATCGATTGCTCAAAGTTAGATGAACTACTCCCCCATCTACCTCACTCAGGGCTGTCACAAGCATCCTTCCCTTGAAGACGCAGGTTATAAACAAAAGACATCTGCTTGGTATAGAAGGGGGGTGTTATTTAATGCAATGCCGCTGCCTGGGAATGGTGTGCAGCGGGACAGGATGCATATGGATGCATACGTCCACATGTGTGTGTGCACATCTGTCATCGCTAAATTAATGGCCCTGTGCAAGTCACATTTCATGAAATGTAATGGGGGGGGGGGGGGGGGGGCTCTCTTTTAAAACGAACAGCCTAACGGCGCCATACCTCATACATTAACCCGCAGGGGGCTCAGTGGAAGGTGTTCGTTATTTGTTCAATAAGTGATCCAGATGTGGCTCAAGGGTCAGGGGTCAGGCCGTTAAGATGACAATCCTGGGTTCGAACCCGAGTTTTTAGTCACCTGTGTCTAAACTGTATTTCCAAGTGTATAGCGTGGTGACGATCTCAGCCCAATAACCCGTGACTGGACAAAAACACTTTTAACTGTGGAATCTCACTTAATTTGCTCAAATTCCAGCTCCCAGAATTAAAAACCTAAATGCGTCGGCTTGACTACAAAGCGACAAACCTTTCTCTGTGGCATGGCAGTGGGAAAGCACAGCGCCCCCTAGTTGGTGGATACATGGTCATTTGAAGGAACATCAACGTCAGAAAATATCTCTTTTTAAATCCTTTATATTAAGTTCACTTGCTTGCTTGCGCGCTTACGACCGTGCAAATCTTTCGGTCGTTTTTTAACCCACTTCCCGTGATCCAATCGAGCTGACATTTTGCACACAGACTCGTTGTGCGTGACAATTTATTTTCGTGATATTTTTTTCCTAAATTTTACAATTTTTTTGGCAAAAAATAAATTATATTTAATTACCAATTGCTTAATGGTGGCAGGCAATCATCTGACCCATAGGTGGCAGCCATCTCAAGCCAGAGGACGAGAGGACTCTAGCCGCCACGCATATAAAGGATTTATAGTGAAAAACTGTTTTTATGGGTTAATTTTTTATGTATCATTCTCGAACATGGGGCACTGCTTTGCTTCGTCCAAATAGACTCTCGACGTGACCCCCGATAGCCTCAGATTATTAGCATAATTGGCTACACACGGTGCAAAAGATGTTTAACATACATACAAAGCACTGTAATAATGTAATTTAAGGAAAAATAAACTTATACAAAGAAAGAATGCAGTCTACCTCTGAAATATACCATAAACAAGCACAGCCTCATCGTCTTGGTTCTTTCGGTAAATTCACGTAGAAGGAAAATAATAATGCGTTGTGGCCGAAACGTCGTGAGAATTATTTTATTATGTTTTATTTTTATTATTTCCCTTCTACGTGACTTTACCGAAAGAACCAAGAAGACGAATCCCTGCAGTCACGAAAGCTTTAAATTTAAATTTAAAAGCGCTGCCTCGTAACATTTAATCTGCCAAAAACCATGGTGATAAGAGTAATATATCTTCGGAGCAGAGAAAGACGACATAAGAGAGTGAATTCGAGTAATATACAATACTGTTTTACGGGATTGCTGTTAATGATCAAAATACTGTTGTAGAGTAAAGTACAGCCGGTGTTGAAGTATTCAAATAACATTCCATTCTGACGAGACGAACTTGAATCATATCTCCTGCACGCAACCCAGCGCTAAATCCCCAAAATATTTAGTTACTGAAGGAAATTAATCCCTGGTCACAAATATATTTCTTCCCAGTATTTGATTTGGAAAAGTTCTCGTCTCTCACAGATTTAAAAATGATGTGGCTCCACCACCACAGAAGCTCCGCTGCTTCTGCCGCTAACGCTGCGGAGAAAATTCCGCCACTTAAACAGGCTTCGGTTAATCACTCATAAAAGATGAGCTGCCAAAAGCGTTGGGGGCCGGAGACGAGAATTATTGGAAAGTCATGAGCAGGGAGCGGGAATGCACAGCTCTGCGGT